TATATATATATATATATTTCTATTCCTGTCTCTTGGCATCTCATATCGTCACCCTCTCATCTTTTTGGCACCTTCTTCTTTGTTTCTTCTAACCTCAGAAGTCCACGGGTCGTGGAGAGTTGCTGCTGTCCCTGTGCTACCAGTCCACCACCAACACTCTGACTGTGGTTGTCCTCAAAGCTCGCCACCTGCCCAAGACTGAAAACAATGGACCCACAGGTATGAAGACCTTAACCCCAACATTTTAGTACTTTGGGGATATTTGCAGACACAAAGCTAGTTTTGGTGTCAACTTTCACTGACGTAGAAAAGAGCAGATTAGATCAAATTCATTTAGCTCCTCGGCCATGCAGCCGACTACTTAAGATGCTGTGATAGTTGCTTTAATGGCAGCGCCACTGCATCAAAGTAATCTGATCAGGATGTGATTGAGGGCACTTTAGTGACAAGGGCACACACTTCTTCACACAGTGTTTACTCGGCCAGCTTTTCTGATCTCATCGCCAACATCCATCACTTCCGCTCCATCGACCGGCGGATTGATTTCACCTCATGAATGATATGACACAACTGCTCCGAGGATAGATTTTCACCAGGGCTTTTCTTGCTTCCCTTCAGTATTTTCAACTGTTTTTATCACCCGTCTCCTCCAGATCCGTACGTCAAGGTGAACATGTATCACGGAAAGAAGCGCGTCTGCAAGAAGAAGACCCACGTGAAGAAGAGCTCCCCCAACCCAGTCTTCAACGAGCTCTTTGTCTTTGATTTGCCCTCCGAAGAGGGTTTGAGGGACACCAGCGTGGAGCTGCTGCTGCTGGACTCGGACAATGGTAACTCACGCAGCCCGAGCGCCACCGTGGGGCGCCTGCTGCTGGGCACGTCCGCCGCGGGAACCGCCGGCGAGCACTGGAGGGAGATCTGCGACCACCCGCGTCGCCAGATCGCCAAGTGGCACGTCATGGCGGAGGATTAGAAAAGCTGGGCGTGCGTGGGTTCTGTCGTCCCTGTCTGACCTGGCTCAACCTCGAAAGGCCTGAAATGAGGATGGGCGGGACGAGATGTCCTGCTGGCCAACACACATTGGACTCTAAGTGGGGTGGGTTCAGGGGGTGGTTTAAACGGGACTTTTTTAAAGGCGAGGATAACTTCATGTGATGTCATAACAAATCTGTCATTAGTTCATATATATTTGAAGTTGTTGGGGTTCAGGTGGAGCAGGTTGAAGGCGACCCCGTAGCTTTAAATGATCCCAAAGATCGCCACTAAGAATCACTTGGGTAACATCAAGCATCATCACCACAGCAGCAGCCAACTCGTCACTGTAAATGTGTGCAGTGCAGAATGTCTTAAATGTTGCTCTTACTTTTCCTTTCTTCTTCTTCTCCTTCTTCTTCTGCAGCTCTTCCTCTTATAGTAACTTATCATCATATACAAACAAACAAAATCTACTGCATCTGACGACACTGTAAAAAATGTGGAATATTTAAAGTTTATTTTATAAAGACAATGTTTTCTTTTTAAATATGTAAAATGTTTGTATTTATGTTATTTTGATTTGAATTATACTGGTTGGTTTGTTAAATCTTGTTTCGTAAGTACAAGTGGTATTTCATATATCATGACTGAGGCCTAAATTAGGTGGTTTGACGGCAGGCGGGAATGGACCGAGTGCACTGGGGACAAAAACTGTGAGTGTGTGTGTGTGTGTGTGTGTGTGTGTGTGTGTGTGTGTGTG